GCCCCGGCTCGTGCTCCAAACGCAAAAATAAGGAGATCACTCCTCCCATGAAGGGCAACGGCCATCCCTTCTTCATACACGGACAAGCCCTTCCCCCGCCCGGGCCGCACGACGCCAGCAGCCTGAAGATCCCTCGGCCACACAGCATGGCAGCCTCTCAGTCGGGGATTCCCGTGGCCCCAGTAGGCCTTGGTCGCTCCGGCGCCTTCCTTGCTCCCGCCACGCTTGCCTCCAACAAGGATGACGGTAACAGCCTGGAAAAGGATCTGGGACTAGGTACTTCCGGCGAGGAGTCGAGCGAGTCGAGCCTTAGCAAGGGTGCCGCCAACCGCCGCGGGGGCCCGGATATAATACCTGGTAGCGGAGGACGCCGCGGACTTCCCATTCTAGAGGTATACAGCAATAACGGATATATCAGCGATGACCTGGAAGCCGAGGAGCGCCGCTCGGAAGAACGCCGTCTCGATCACTATGGCGAATGGGAAGACCCGCGTCGCAGCTACCAGAACCACCGGCCTTCACCCGAGCGCTCGTCGTCCGTCCATCGAAACGATTCATCCGCACGACCCGGGCAGCGCCAGGGACGCCTGCACTCCTCCGACACACGGGAGCGAACCGAACTCAGGAGAGGTTCCTCGGCAACAAGGTCACACGGAGCGCGTTCTTCTGCAGATCCCCGCGGAAGGCACCGTGACCACCATTAACGACGTCACGCCCAAGTGACCACGTGCCATGGCCAAGTGTACAGTGTACATAGTGTAGTATGAATGGACAGGCCCAGCGCAGCTAGTCACTGGGCGAACACCCCCAATCCCATCTCTTAGTTCTCCCCAAGGGTTGTGTTTGTCACCCCGCGGATTTGTGCCATTCCGCCCACATTTCGACCCTGCTGTGTTCTCATTCATCAACATCAGATATGTATGTTTGTCCTTGTCAAGGGGTGAAGCCCTTATATGAAAATAATTTCGTGTGTGTCTTGACAAACTGCACCGATTAGCGGGGTCGGTGGAAATAAATCATCTGTATTTATTTATACGAACTTTATTTTGTGTTGCAAAGGTACATACATTGTGGACAAGTGGAAAACGACTCTGAACTAGCGTTGCAAGGGATAGGGCAGACCACAGACACGCACAACCTGCCGCGATGACAGTGCAGTGGTGTTTACCGGTATGTCTCGAAGCTGTCGCCGGTCCACGATGTAGCAAATAGTGATTGGTAATGACAAATGCCAAAAGTTGCCAGAGCAGGTGTACTTAATCTGAGGAAATGAGTGAACTGTGATTCTCAAGAATAGTTTTTTTTGTGTGTATGTAACTGCTGAACAAGATAAATTAACATTTTGTACAAATTTTCATCAGATATCTTCCTGTTTTTAGAACTGTCAGGTTCACAGTGTTTCCCAGATTGCCAGTATCAGTGGCATGCTGGAGCTCAGTCTGGCTCAATAGTAATGTAATCGTTTTTAATATCATTTTAATGTAAACTGTATCAGTTACCACTTTGTCGACAAGTTTTGAGTGAAAATGCATTCCCAAACTTGATGAACTCCAGACGTCATATGATTGAAGTGTAGACTTTTACTATTATTCCATTATTTCATTAACTTCAATACTGATATTGTGTGATATAGGAATGAATCGTTATTTTATAATACTTTTATAATGAAAATTTGTTTTTAGAAATAAGGTTTGATAAGGTAGATGCTCGCAGGATGTTCGTCCTGAGAGGTAAATGTATATAGCATATAAATTTTATTTCAGTTTTCGTCCAAATTTAACAAATTCTGTTTTAGCTAAATCTCGCTCTCGCATTAGATTCACTTGGTTGGTTTTATCAGGAAGTGGTTTGTTTTCCTGCATCAAAATGCCTTGCCAAGAGGTTATATTAGTCGGGTCCAAACACCTGCAGACGAGTTGGATCCTTCAACCCATCCAGTATATAAGGCATCCAGTTAACCAGGTTGGATTCCTTATATCACGTGGTACTTGATGCATGGAAACTCGCCCTTCGCATGTAGTTGTTACAGGGAGAATAGGGTCTTCTTAACAACTAGCTGAAAAGGCAGTTGAATTAGAGACCAGAGAGCTGCTCATGGCAGAGATACTTCCCTGGCGGTTATCTTTAAAGTAACTGTCGAAATCCTGGTGGCCGACTCGATGCATGTGCATAGCCTGTCTAAAAATGAGCAGCATTGTCGAATGTGGTAGTTTTTGTAATGATCATTTTATATGTTTATATGAATGTTCACGCATTAACTACACTGTCCATATGCGCTGTAAATAGCATTGACAGACGACCATGTTCATGTTTTTCTTAACCCTGTAGTGTTTCTGCTCATAGAAAAGCAGAGACTTGAGATTTCGAGAAAACGCCTTGACTCGTGTATAACGAAAAAATGATACTTGTAAATGCCTCGACCATTTCATATATGTTTTTATAGGCAAAATCATAGACAATGAAAAGACGTGTGAGAAGATATTTGTTGATTGCCGTAAGCATACGATGGAGTACTACAGAAGCGTCACCAGATTCAGTATTATTAAGCCCCTCTACATTTTACATGTGCAATGATAAAAAATGTCACTAATAAACCCAGGTTTCTTAATGATTTGCATTTTATTACCTCACTATACATTAAGAAGGTGTAATATCTTGGATATTATGTATGTGACTATTGCTATTAAAGAGCTTATTTGTGTGCTCAATGGTTCGGTGGGGTAAGGCTATGGGTTTTGCTGGTGTTCGGAGGTCAATTGTCTGAGGCTGCTGGTGATTAGGACCCAGCTCTACCTACCACACGGGGAGGTGGCGACCCATTACACCTGTAAGTCATGGTTATTCGCTGTGTACCTACATTTATAATAATAATAATAATATTATGAAGATATCCTCTTGCACTTAGTAGTATCACAGTTTCCATGTTATAGTATGAAATTTGAGATAACCATCTTTTCCATTTCCATATTAGAAAAGCAATGTTGGTCGAAGCCCTGTTTTTGGCGAGTTGTGAATATTTTTTAATTAACTTCTGTTAAATAATGACTTTCACTGTGGTAGATCAGCAAGAAACAAATCAGAGTACCAAAGTACAATTTATCGGAAAATCACGCAAAATAACTGCCTCAGATGTTCATGACCTTATTTAAAATAATTTTTAAATTATTCATAACATGCTAATATAAAATTTGGTATTCAAACATGACCAAAAATAGTTTGTAATCATAATTGTAAACAGGAAATTTTTCATAGCCATACATGATGCTACCTTTACTTATAGTGATCCATGATATTGACAAATATTTTTGTTGTTTCTTGTAGAACAAATATTTGATAAGCCATGGCCCTTACTCAACCAGAATAACCCACAGTAGAACATGATCCTTTACCTTTTTACTCCTGCGCCCCACTGTATAAATAAAAAGTTCTTCCCCCAACTCCCCCTTGTATTTATAAATAAAATTCTCTTCCACATGTTCAAGATAAAGTAAAAACAGACCTCAAACCAAGAGAAACACTAGCAGTGCACCAGAAAACAAACCAAAAAACATAAATGGAGCTGTATAAAACAAGTAAAATATCTTGGCATAAAATAAGAAAATTTGAGATGAAACAGAAATTAAATAAGCAAATTGAAGATATCAGTTGTAAGAAATATGGCTATTTTATTTTAATAATAGTTTACTATTATAATCCATTTTACCGTCACTCATATGATTAGATCTAGAACATCCTTCTGCTTAATGCTCAATTTCATTATACATTATCCAGTGCCTGCAGTTTTCTGATTTCTTATCAATCTTTTCCCCCTCAATAGTACATTTCATACTGGAATATTGCCAAAGCATTTACATAATGTTTTGGTAACATGATTAGCTTGCAAATAGTTTAACCCAGTGCTGCATATTAGTTAAATAGCAAACACTTGTTTACACAAATTTCTGATTTGTTAAAGGGAGATTCTAACATGAATGAAAAAATGGTACCTCTACCTATATGATGTACAGCACATAAGTAGCTTTTCAGTGAGGAATTTTTTTTGTTATCTTACCATGGCAGTGCCAACACTATTAATCCCCAAAATTGCAATCATCACTAGTAATCAAGCTAAATAGGTTATCTGGGGACAAATTCTGAATCCATGAAAAACATGATACATGAAAAATAGATTTTCTCCTGTTTCATTGCATTTTGCCCCCCCACCCCTAACAAGGTTGACTTAATAATTATCTTTACATAATTACAAAATCATATCAAGCATTTTTTACAATAGTGCATTCTATATAAGCCTCTGTAGACACCATGCTCTAACTCTTGCCCACTTTGAGTGTCAATCATATGGACAGGTATTTAAGCCCTAATATGAAGATTTCTTTTTATAGTTTATATGCATCATTTACAGCACATTGAATTTCATGCTCACTTTCTTATATGCATTACACATAGGTTAGTGTAATTACATACCCAGTATAAAAGGCAACCTTGTTTAGGGCACCTCACTTTTCATTAAGAATTTTAAAATTGTGCATTCTGCTATACATCTGCTTGCAGCTCATTTTTTGTTATTATAAAGTTCCAGAAATATCCTTATAGAGGCTTTGATTCTACTGATAATTATAATTGCAAATAAAGGTTCCCTCTACTGTACACACAGTGCTCTATAATATTTTGACATTTGGCCTTACAACAAAATTAGGCTATTTGCATTTTCCCTTTTCAAATCTTAATTGCAGCATCAAATAATACTTCTATTCTATATAATAGTAATTTGTCAACAATTTTTTCCTAGGAAAGTATTACATAATGAACTAGGGAAAAAAAACTTAGCTCTTATCATTAAATTGTTTCACATAATGAATGGATGTGACAGATTACAATATTTTATGAAATGCTGCAGGCAAACTTTTCTCCATCTCTAAAATAAATGTAAACCAACTTCTGATGACTTAGCATATGTTAGAAGCAATACATGCATGTACTGTCTAGGAAGAAAAATTCAAAATTTTTCTAGCCAAAAGCAGTGGCAAAAGTAAATTTGCTTAAGGAACTTTTTTACACTTCAAATTCATTTTATTTTTTTCTTCTTTCTCCAGATATCAACTATGTCTCTACAAATATGTAAAATAAACACATTTAGGGAAAACCAAACTACCTTCTAGATATAAATGTGTATTTAAGGGAATGAGTCACTTACTTTCCCTCACATACTATAAGAAAATGCTGTGTAATAATTGGTAACTAGTCCAGTAAATAATTTTTGAACACAAACTTTATGCAGTTAAGTACAAAAGACTCGTACACTAACATCTACCCTGGAAATGTTTGCCATCAGCTGTTAAAACATAAAATATACATGGACTTGCGGTACAAGTGACATCTGTGTTTCATTTTTTTTTTTTTTTTTTCTATCTATTTTTAGCATTTTAGACACCGACTGTTCATCAGTGGAACACCATTTCTTGGCAAGTTTTTGAAACACACTATGATACCAAGTGAGACCGAGAAAACATTTTGCTTTCTCACATATTGAAAGGATTATACAAGTCTTTAATAACAGACCCAACAGGTATATAAACTGAACACTCCATCAACACAATGCAAAATGTGAACTGGTACTGTAATGGGGCACCTAGGCCTTGTCATACTTCATTCACTGATTATTGCTCTTAGTGTTGTGAAGGTTAGGAGATGCAATCAGGGACTGAGCAGTAGATAAAGCAGACTGATATTTCATCACAGGCAATATGGACTGCTCATATTACCCTTGAAATGAGAATGCAAATACAAGAAATCTAAACCTCAAAATTAGTTGATGGGTGGGTTATTCTCAAAACAGAAAAAAAAAACAGAAAAATTGGAGAGTTCAGAAGACAAAGGAAGAAAAGAGAGAGAATAAGATACACTAACTGTTACATGAGGCAAACGTTAAGGGCAGGAACAGGAAAGTATCAAAGATGGAGGGAGACAGCAGACTGAACTGTAGGGGAAGTGGGGGGAGGGGCCAAAGTTCCCTGAGTTGTTCGTGCAACATATATTCAAGTGCACAAGAGAGGCTAAGGCCACGTCACCTTTACCAAAAATTCTACTGAGTAATCAGAGAGGTCCTTATATCACACGTATTAGTGTTCATTTTTTTTCTCGAAGTTCTTGAGATATGAAAAACAGTCACACCTTAACCCAAGAAAGCTGGGTCCTGCCTGGGTCTTCCTCTGAAGTTGAGATCACAATACAGGCCAGGTACTACTTCAATGTTTTTTGTTTTTTTACTTATGCTTATGGATTCTTTCTATTAACGACATCACATTTATGACCAAAAGTTCCACCCAAATTTTGTCTGAATTTCTGATATATATAATACAAACAAGAGAAATCACAAATTTATTTCACTAAGAAAATCTTGACGGAGAAAAGATAAAACTACGGAAACTGTGACAGGGTTGTTAAAAGAAATCCATGATGACATATTGCAAAAAATAACAATCTCCATATTTACAGAAATCTCTTACACAGTTACTAATTAAGGTTAACACCACTCATTAACAAATAGCATATTTGTATTGCACAGTGATCAAGATTTTTATCACAATAATAATAATACAAAACTAAGCAAACTTTCACTCCAGGAAAAGCACATCAAATACTTACATAAGTGTTCCACTAGTAGCAAACCTCATGACCCTTTGTGTGAAAAGGCTTCTTATAACCATAAGACAAAAATTCTATCCAACTGCACCACTCTCCACAAAGTCTTCATATAAAATATCACTTATGAAAATTAAAATCAAGAGCCCTAGCTATTTCTTCATATTGAAAATGTATAAAAGAAATTTTTTTGTATAAAGAAAGCTCAAAAGTGCAGCTGTTAATCTTTTTTTTTAATATTCATTTTCAAAATTGTTTGAATTTCATTTCTTCAAACATTACCTTTACACAAAACCTTGTATCTTATTCCTTCAAAACTATGGTAATTAGACAAATTACACATACATGCACATACACACAAACGTACACACACACATACACACATTTACAAGACCAACTGTAAGAGCAAATAACTTAGGAGATTATGTAGATGTAAGCACAATGAAGATATTCCAACTGGAATCATAATCTTATTTCAAGGCTGGTCATCACTTTGATGGTAGGTTCCCTGTGTATTGTAATTCCCACTTAATAATGGAAATCATAGCACAACAAAGTAGATTCAGAACGACAACTATCAGGGCTTGGTGCCTTTATAAGGATATGTGCATCAATCTTACATCAGCATCATTTTGAAATCATACGACTTCCTGAATGTCAACTTGCCAAGTTAGTTTATTACTCAGTCAGTATCACAGAGGAGAAACAGACCTACTAATATACTGTGCATGAAAGTTGAGAGCAATTGCACCAATCAGTTAAGAGATTCTTACCACTGGCTAAAAGATCCACAGCTATTGTGATATATTTTTTAAAAAATGATGAGGGGTCAATCTGAAGTGCTTCCTGATAAACCATTTAATCCAAATCCAGATACTAAACATATGAAACGTGCATCTGATCTGAAGACAATGTATTGATAATACCCATTTCATACTAACCCGAGTCACTTCAACTTCTAGCAAAC